TCATTGAAGGCCCCGTCAGATTTATGTGCTGTCCCTGTATATAAAACTGTATATGAAGTAGTTTAAACTGTTTCCACCTGCAGCAGCTACAACATGCTGCACACACACTGATGCTTCACTAATAATAATCTGATGATCTCATATATAATAATATGTCAGTTAGTGGAACTAAACCAATAGTTGAACTTTAAAACTTGAACTACATTTTGCTGCTAATACTTATGTACTTTTATTTAAGTTTTATTTTCAATGCAGGACTTTTAATGGAGTATGTTTACATTACTCTATTGACAGTTATGCTTCAGTAAAGGATCTGAATACTTCTCCCACCACTGCTGTAAATAACATACTAATATTCAAACCATAATTCAGTTTCTGTATAGTGTCGTTTGCCTCCAGAGGTGACTACTGAGGCACACTATTCTTAGTGATGTCTTGCTTCAAACACATTCACACAAAAGGCAAGCAGCTTTTCGAGTTATTCATATCACCGACAAGAAACAAGCTAAAAATAAATGCTGTGCTTCTTATGCCACAGCTGATCACAAACTACTATCCTGCCAGAAAATCACAATTCCTGACCTGAGACACTACTGGCTGCTTCAATAGATATTATTCTGCTTCGACAGAGCCCACTCTTTGTCAGTCTGCGCTAAAAAAGAACACTGAACCGACACTAAACGCTGGATATGCAAATGATTGCTCATAAATGATGTCTGGTGCACGTTTATACTGCAGGTAGCTTAGCAGCAATGCAAAAAAGCGTGCAGTTTTCCACCTAATGTGTGTTGAATTACCGACAGCCTGTTTTGCACTACTAATCAAGAATTGAATTTGATAATAACAGGGATTTGTTTGCTTCCAGATTTGCTGCAGGAAAGATATCTGTCAGCACTTCTCTTTGTAGAATAAATGAAAAGGAAAGAAGCAGCTTGTGGATTCCTGTTCAGTGAGCTGTACTCACTGAAGTGGATCAATGCAAATATCATGTCAATCCTCTGATTTATCGCTGTAATTATTTTGATAGGTTTATTTGTCTTGTCATGCCACACTCCGTCCGACGGTTATCCACTGTGTATAAGTGTACCAACGTATTGATTGTGCAGGATAATCACGCACTACTGACGACTCCTTGAAAAGTTTCACACAGAGGAAAAACAAGCCGTCGACTGCATATTGTTGCAGAAGATCTTTTTGATTTTTTAAAAATCATCATTGTTCTAACATGAAGTACCATCTGCAGTCCATCAATAATGCATGTTCCTAAAGCACCCCAAAAAACTGCCACATTTGGAAGTTTCCCTTTTAGGAGTTGGGTTCCTGTTGCTTTAACCGGCTGTCAGGAACACACACAGAAACTTTTTTTTTTTTTCTTCTCCCTTTTGTTCACTCCTCTATGGAAATGCGCATCTGTTCTCTGGCCACACACGCAGCCCAAAAAGTGAAAGCTGCAGTTAGTCTCCTGCGTTAATCCGTTGTTTGGATTTTAATCTGTTTCAAACCTTTTTTCTTTCTTTTTATTTAAAGCAAAGGTGTATGCTCACTTTTTTCTTTTTTTTTTTTTGCTTCATCAGCTTGTCTTTTTTTTTTCTTTCCCCAGAAGAGGCACTCTGTCTCAAGTGTCCTGCAAATGCAGTTGTTGAGGTCACATATTTGGAAATAACCCATGTGAGGTTCAATGCCAGGCTCCCTTCAGTGTTTGCAGTGTGTTTTTGAAGTGGCAGGGTGGGCTGGCGGTTACAGATTGTCCCATTGTCACAGGGTCACAGGTTGGATCCCTCTCATAGCCGGTGTGCCCGTGTTGAGCCCGCCTCCTTCGGAGACGTTGCCCTTCCTCACCCCTTTGTTGAAACAGTTGTGTGAGCCAGAAAGTGGATCCGTTAAGATTCACAATCGACCTGCTGAAAACAGAGAGAGCTGCTGTTGATGATGCTTACAATGCAGAGCTGCTGCTCACAAACCCCAAAGTCTTACTGTCGACACACAGCTCACACAAAGCAGCAAGTTTCCCCTCAGTCCTGTTTGGTTTTCTGGTCAAGTAGTGAGTTCAGGTCCTGAATCTGCAGATTCAGAACATGACTGAAGGCGCTGAAATGCCGTCACATGCTGACCTCTAGTGGATGATTTGGTGTACTTACAGCAGAATAAAACCCTCAGTAACAGCCATCCAGCACATGTTTGACAGGGTTTATTTCTTGTCTGGGCGTTTCCAAAGAACACAAATAGTCTGCAGCACTGAAATAAATGTACATCCATCTTCTGGGTCGTCATGTATGAATTTGAATGATTTTATTCTCCACCCTGTAAACTGGTTTCCTGGTCTCCTGGACCTTGATCCAAGGAAAACTATTGATAATGATATGTATTTAATGGTCTGGTTAAAACGTGTACATGTAAAATGTATATGAAGAGCAGCCATACCTGAGTTTTAAATGTGAATCATGATAAATGTGCATCATATAGTGCTGGAATAAATAGGAAGATTCCTGACTCAAGTTTAACTACGAATACCACACTGTAGAAATACTCAATACATGTAAAAGTTCTGCATGTAAAATATTTCTAAACTGCAAGTACAAACAGGATCATGTCCTTGAAGACATTTATTAAAATTGCTCAGTGCAGGAAAATGTCTTTGTTACTTTTACAATAGAATATATTAGGACTGTAACTGATGATTATTTTATGATAATAAAGCCATTGTTTTCTCATTTAATAGTTTGTTGCAAAAAAATAAAAAATAAAAAAGTGCATCCAAAGTCACTTCTTTATGATGCTTCTTTTTTCCAATCAACAATCTACATTTAAAAATGATAAAAAACAAAAAAGAAAACTAGACAACATGTTGTGATGGGATCACACCAGTCAACATACTGGCCTTCTGACCGGTAAATACTGAGTCAATATTAACACTTGACTGCACAGTTACTCAACATGTATGTTTCAGACCACACCCTTCTTCAAACTCGGCCTTCATCTTGATCTGAGGGAAACACATGTAAAACTTTGTGACTCTATCTTGCCCGGCTGTAGTTTTATCTTGATCAGACAAAAACACCACTGGACTTGAAACCACCGCCGCTATCGCTGCCTCCAGGACTGTGTTTGCACGATGACACACACACACACACACACACACACACACACACACACAGACTCACAAGGTGAAAACACCACCGGCCACGTTGTTGTGGCTGCTGATGATTAAAACTTTTAAAAGCAAAAGCAGCAAATCCTTACAGTTGAGAAGGTGAAACTATAAAATGTTTTGGGATATTTTCAAATATTTAACTAAATTTTAAAGGCTTTTAGTATGTTTTGCTTGTAACAATCTGAATTTGTAAAGGAACTAATAACTAAAGGCTGTCAGATAAATGTAGTGGATTTAAAAGTTCAACATTTCCCTTTAATGTAGTGGAGTAGTAGAAATGATTCACGTTTAACCATTTGCCTTAGCAATTTATCTTTAGCCTAGTAAGAGTTTATTTATATTTACTTATTTATAATCCATGTAGTGAAACAGAATGATTCCTTTATGGCTTTTTTTCTCTCCTGTAGATTCCAATTAGATAACTGAGGAAATTCAAATTTAGCAAAAACTACAGCGAAGAACATAAGAAGACATTTGAAAGAAGGACCTAAAAAGAAAGAATTTAGAACAAAGAAGGATCTAAGATTTTACATATATGTTGATCATTTTAACTAAATTTGGTGTCAAAAAATATAAAAATAGCATCTACACACCAAATTCCAATCGAGAGTTATTTGGGGCTTCAAAACCTGCTACAGTGCTATTTCAGTGTTTCTCAGTCGCTTTGGTTCATTTCTCAGATCAGAATTGAAATTCTAAAAACTACTTGTTCAGTCTTCACATCATTGTGTCGCTTGTGCACATCAAAAAATCAGTTTCTCATTTCTGTGAACAAGTTCTAAATGCTTTGGTACATCCAGTAAATGATTATGTACAGTTCTCTGCTGTTTCCTACATTATCAATTGCTTATGTCATGTTGATCAGAATGTATTATAATGGGTCTCTGTTGAATAGTCTCACCCCCACAACATTTAGGCATTAGTTCATCACATAAGTCTTTACATGCAACATGGTTGAACAAGTTGTCTAAATAAGTCGAGCATATTTCTATACATTTCCATTATACTTTTTTCTAAATCTGCCCTGAATTGGTAAGTTGCTCCCAGGTGAATCTTGACTTTCTCTAATGAAGGGAAATGTGTGCAGCATCACATAGATCAATCAATGATCAACCAGATTTCTGAAATAGCTCAAAGGTGCATCTTATGAACCATCAACTGGCAAGTATAGAGGAAGACTGCACTGTAATTCCTACAGCACTGCATGTACAGTTTTCCCTAAGGAGATTGTCCTATGTTCACATTTCTACTTTTTGTTTTTGTCTTGATGCTGTGCAGTGCTGTCTTTTCCTTTCTGTATTGCAATGACATGGTCTGTCAACAAATCACAGTACAAACAGTAAATGTGAATCTTGTCCAGTCTCTTGCAATCAGTCTCCCACATACACTAAGGTGTAACTCACAATTTACAATAATTGTCATCAAAACTTCAGCCATAGTTACATCCCTCCTAAACAATCTGACTGTCTTATCCGTATACATTGACACAGGGACTTGTCCTTCTGATGCCCTGACATGTTCATTGACAGATATTTAGTTTTGAGAGATGAACTAAGGATTTTGAGCAAGTAACTGCCTTTTGCAGGTAATCCATGGTGTTTTGCTATTCGTACGAATTGTTTTGAGAGAGGCAAATTTGCAAATGTCGAGGATGATTCTAGAAATATACCAAAGCCACTGAGAAAAACTGTAATTTTCTGTCTTTGTCTTTATATTACATTGATGCAACACAAATAGGCTATTTGTAAAGTATTGTCAGAATATGAAAAGGCTGCTTTTATATGTGAACATATTTCTGGATATTATCTTTCCATAGATTCTGAATGTGAAAAATGCACAAACAAAAAAATACACACAGGTAATATTTATTGAAAACTTTTAAGAAAGCATGTATAAAAGTCATTGAAACAGTAAAAAAAATTACAATGTAAGAGTACCACAGTTTTTGGAAATTATTCAGTTGGCACTTCGTGTTTGAACCGTCGCGCAAGCTGAATGTCACAAGCTCGACACCCACGGCACATTAACTCAGGAGTCCTTCCCTGTTCATGTATCCTTGAGTACATATTGTCAGTTTTAAGTGAGTGCAAAAGAAATGTATGTAATAAGAATAACATGAGCATATGTGAGTTAATTAAGAGGTAAAATAGACTTAGCAGAATTAATGTAATATAAAAAACTTCATTTGTGTAAACTTCAGTCAGTAACACAACTCTGCATCCGTCTTCACCGTGTGATGCAGCAGTTACTCAGTACCATCAGGAATATAGCGGTTATATGCTTAATACTGCACTTTTGTGTTCTTTGTATCATAGTACCAGAAACTCTTTGGAAACGGGCTCATGCAGAGGCACTGAAGGCGCCGTGGAAGCCGTACGCCATGTTAACAGGCACATCGGCTCTTCCCAGCTCTTCAAAGGTCTTGGCGTCCAAAACCAGGAGGAATGTTGCTTTATCCTGGAGAGACATTCATAAAACAAACAAAGAATACTCAGAATAATGGCAACAACTGAAAAAAGAACAACCATGATCACTGCGCAAACCTACAATAAACATGTATATCATTTTTCCAAATGCCCAGAGAGGTTACCGATGCTGGAACAATGTTGGCTGTACATACCGTACATATTTCACTACTTGTGTTTTTCATTTGTTTCAATGTTTAGCACCTATCTGCACTTAAACACGGCCTGCAGTTGAGTTTAACTGCTGATTTTATGTGACAAGACAGCTGAGTCACTGATGGCTTGAACTGAAAAATGCAGATTTTTATTTCTTTTCTGGTTTATTTTTTAGAGAATTTTAAATGAGGCACGGATATAGAGATTTATTATGAAATATGCCAATTTAAGCACATTTTTGCTTAAGTTTTCTAATGAAATGGCACATCACAGACGAGTAGTTCAAAGACAGTCAGAAAGCTACAGTTCCTGGCTTTGATAAATGGTGTCATTCTAGCAAATTTCTTTAAAGATAAAATGCCTTTCAAAGCAGACAGCAGGTTTTGGGGTTCAGAGTTAAGAGACTGAATCTGCCTTGTTAGAATTATTACATTTGCACTGCATATGTAGCTTCCACGTTGCTGACAGGTGATATCAAACTGCTAATCACAACACAGGTAAATGTTAACTCTTATTTTCCTTCTGCATTTGACTTGCTTCACAAGAAAGGCACAGATAAGAGAGGTGAAGATAATAGTGTTTATAAAGTGTTTCTGTCATTGTAATTCAGATGTACAAAAACCCTGTTCGGTAAAATCAGCAAGAACTGTATTCACATTAAAGTTCACTTTATAAAGTGCCAGAAAAAATATAAATGCCATTTGATTCTGCCGCTCCTTTCCTATTACTGGCACCACTAACACAGCCACAAAATACATTTCCTGCCATTATGCTTCCGTTCTTTAGTAGTTTTCTGTTTGTAATTCGAAACTTCAGACGATCAAAATTCACTTTGTGCAAATTCATCAATGAATATTTATGACTCTGCTCATCGCCTTCATGAATATTAATGATGGATTATGTGTCCGGCTGATAACGGACTTAAAATCGACCAAGCTCAGGTCTACTTGTGTAGCTAAAACTCAGGGAAAACTGCTAGAAACAACCTAAACTTGGACCACCGGGGAGTACTGAATATGAAAGACAGTTTCAGGGAATCAATACAAAGAACAAAAGGTATACATGTATAGAACAAAAAAGAAAATTACACCACTGATGTAGCTCCTCTGTATTACTAAACCTTTAAAGACTGTTTCATTTCTCATCAGGTGGGCTCTCCTTGGATAATGTCGGAGGCACAGAGTCTTACCTGTGAAGGTGTGAGGACCACCGAGAGGATGACTCCATCATCTTCATCAACGGCATCAGGTGATGGCACAAACACAGGCTCTGATGGGTAGAAACCCTTCTGGTACCAAACCTGCAGCAGATCACATTCACAAATAGCAGCTCAATCCTCCAGTGTTCTATGGCTCACTTTGCATATTAGTGACACTTTTTACAGCTTATATCTTAGCATTTTGATAAATCTTCTTTTATTGGTTCCCTGTCGAGATGCATATGAGAAGAAGGGCAGCGGTTGCTAACAGCTAACCCGTCTAATATCGTCTGACATCAGATTTTTTATTTGATTACACGGCAATTTTGTATCACTGGTCAACATTTTTTGCATAAAAGTGACAATATGTCATAATGTCTGCTGTGTTCCATGAAGGCCGTGACGTCATATTAAACTTGTTGTCCCAGGAAGTAGACCCCACCACAGACACACCTTGAGCGTCTTATCAGTCAGGTCCATCTTGAGCAGAGAATCTCCCACCAGGTGTCTGAAGCCGCAGCCGTAGAAATAACGGTACGGACGCGTGTTGCATTTGTTGTAGTTGATCTGCGGGAACTCCAGGCCGCCGTAGTCCGCCAGGTCGTCTCCATGGAGATCCTCGTGCTGACAGAACACCTGTTGACAAAGACGGGATCAGCTGTCTATTGTCGCTTGAGCTCTGTGAGTTTTGGCTTCAGTTTAACTTTGCTGAATCCTGTCGGTTTCATGAAGTGCATCTTATGATCATCTGACTTGGTTATAACACTCCAGAGAAAATGTGAACTGGTTAAAGCCCAGGTCCAGCCACTGATGAAACTCCTAGAAACTCATCCTTGTGTTAATCAAGCTACATATTTAGGAGCTTTTCTTGTCCTCATTGCAATCATCCATTCCAACTTCCACATTTTTTAGATGTATCTCTACAACATTGCTTCCTCTAGTATGCAAATCTATACAGTTCACCCACTCCTGCCCACTGGCTGCAGCTGGAGCACACCAGCTCACCTACAACTCTGCTCAAACACTATAAAACTACTCTACACTGCACAATGGAAAGCTGTAACATTGAAGTAATGTAGCCGTATATGAATAATGATACAGAGAACTCCACCCTGCACGCTGACAGGATTGGTTCCTTATGTTTGTTACATAAGAAACCTCATGAGTCTGAATCTATGGAAATACTTAGCCACGGGTTTGACTGTTTATTTGTCTCATGACGTGTGTTCCAGCAGAGGAAAAATACCATATGCACATGTTAGCAAGGTCAAAAACTGGGAGGATGTCTTTAAATATTTGGGAGGTGGAAATAGCAACCAAAGCTGTGCCTCTGACTGTCATATAGAAACCGTTCGCTGGGATATGAAGAATGCTTTTGTGCTAATTTTGCATAGAGTCCGAAATCACATACTTTATTATATTTTTATATTTAACACCTCCATCACTGTTACATACATAATGGCTGCATCACAACATATGAGTGTATTGTTTCTAAATCTACAACTTTACAAATTTCACTGTATTTTATCAAAGGTAAACGAGTGCATATATTACTTTTTCACATGTGCTGCGTGGCACTACAGAGACTTTTCTTCCCTTGCACTGCATCTTATAAAATACAATAAATTGTTGTACATTAAACCACCCAGAAGTCATTAAAATTCACTCAAACTTGACCAACTTCAACAACAAAAATGTTGCTTGTCCATGAATGTATCTTTAAAAATATTAATTCTGTTATATTAGCCCTTCAGTCAAGAAAGGAACTGAATACTTCTTCAACCACTAGGTTGGAAAAATACTAGATTGAAAAGAAAACAAGTAGAAAGCAGCTTCTCCACAACTGAATGAGAGACAAAATGTCTTCAGAAATTCAAAAAGAAAAGTCCAGTTGTCTTTTAGCTCTGAGAACTGAAGGTCAAGGTTTCTTTATTCGTCTCCCGTGGGAGAAGTTGGTCTTGGACAATCTTGACACGGATGACTGAGAATCTACACAGACATTATTTACAGAAAATACTTTTGTGCAGCGTCATACGAGCTGTCAAGGCAAGACCCGTTTCGAAAGACTGAATCCAGTGTTTTTGCTAAAGAAGGAAGGAAAATGTAGACATCCATGCTAAAGAGATTATCGTGTATAATTCCAACTCACCACTTCTTTGCTGACTTTAACACATGTCGCTCCACTGGAGGGTCGAGTGTTCAGGTTCTGGCCTGTCGGGGTTTCGCTGGTCACGGTTAGGGGCAGGACAAAGCGACGAGGATAAGCCCTGCACAGGGTGTTGTACACCTGGGAAGGACACAGTCTAGTATTTAGACATGTTGCAGATTCATCCTAATGTGTTTGTCTCTTGGTGCAAAGAGACTGAAAAATGACACTTAAAGAGCTACAGTTAAAGGAACACACAACTATGAACAGACAGAAGGCACCAAATCTAGTACTGCAAAGGCTTCCCCCTGAAATTACTCGAGATTAACCGCCAATTATATCCTGAGCAGTTGTTTTCTACTCAAGGAAAGTTAATGAGATTATACAAACAGTCCAAAAAAACATGCTCTGTTGATATCTAAAAGTGCAGTGAATCTCTCCTTTAATTTGACTGTGTGCAACCAGTTCTATACTGACCTCATCTAGTGCGTCTCCGGACTTGCGTAAGTTCTGGATAAGGTAGTTGTTGATGGCTTGGCCGTCGTCTGAGCAGCACATGTCCAGCATCAAGAACCCATCCTCCTCAAAGGCGTTGATCTGATGGAAGGTGGAGATGGCCTTGGTGTGGTACTTCACTGAGCTGACCTGCAGTCCAGAAACACACACTCAGACCATTAGAGATCAGCTAGATGGAAGCAGCAGGTCGTTCCTCTCACTGATGTTGAAGTACTACTTTATGTGTAAATCCGTCTTCACATCTCACCTCGCCTGTTTTCTTGTCGACAAGGTGGAAGACCGTCTCCTGCTTGGGATCCCAGTAGATGCCGTCGCTCAGGGCCTTCCCCCTCAGCTTACATGTGACTATCTTCAGCAGGTCCATCTTGATTGGCTGCTCGATGAACACCACGTAGTTCTCAGACATGGCTGGCGGCCAGAAGAAGAGCATTATTAGGATTTTCAAGCTGAGGGCAGCAAATAAAACAGACATCACAGATGAGAGATACCCGGGAGTGCCGACTTACCAAAGCTGTGGTAGTAGGAGGGATGGGACTTGTTTGCAGGCACAATAGAACAGAGGATTTTGGCTCCTTGCAGGGTGTCGCTGCCATCTGTCTTCTCGGGAGGTACTCTGATGATGTTGTACAGGGCTCCTAGAATAGCCAGAATAATATTGTAATCGCTTTTTGCTGTGACATGAGATGCGAACGAGCAAACACAGATGTGCGGGGATAATAACGTAGTTTCATTGCAAGAGGAGATAAAATAAAAACAAAGCACTAATTGAATCATCCGATCCTTAAGTCCTTAAGCCCCAAGCTATTTTTTGTCAAAAATTCCAGCTAAAAAAAAACGTCCCCGAATATCGTCACAGTTAAGTAACAGCTGCAAAACTGTGAGGCCAAAATTAAGAACCCTGGGCTCCTTGGATAAGAGACACTTGGGAGGACTTCAACATACAATAAGTGTTCTTGTCAGTAAACCACAGGGAAATTTAAGAAACTCACACAAAAATGGACATGTCTACTTCTGCATAATCAAAACAGAAAACTAGAGGGTACTAACAACCTTATAAGGCTTGTTTATTCTTCAAAGTGCCCTTGACCAAGCCATAATAAATCCTCCTTCCTTCCTAAACTTACTGTAGATAACAATTAGCCAGTAAACATTAATTACAATGTCGTAAATATTCTCACCTACAACTCTACCAAAGTTGAAAAAGCAGACGTGAAGCACAGCAATGCTACGTCTGTTTTAGTCACAGTGGAACCAGATAGCCTCTCCTGTGAAAGCGCCACATGGCAACCATCAAAAAATAGCGCCGGGTTGCATTTTTTGCTCCTGGTACAGTGACCTGCAGGGTTCAAGGGGTTAATAGGAGTCTCGGGGCCAACCTTTGCTTCCATAGGAGTTTCCCATATTGTAGGTGGTGCCATCTGGGTCATAGTGTGGGTGAGCAGTGGCGCCGTTTACAGCAATGAACTTACTCCAGTCCACCTGCAACACAAAACATAAAATCAGGAGGATCAGTGTGTGTTGATACTGCTGGATTATAGCTGATAGAACTGCCTGAAGAATGAATTGGATGCATATAATTCATGCCACTGGTATTATCATAACACCTTTTACTCCATGAAAACCATGATCGTACCTTTTCCACTGTTTGAAGGGTGTCTAGATTCACTCTGTGCATGAAATTAGTCTCTGTGCTGACATAGTAGTCTCCTTTGTATTTCACAAAGCTCACACTTGCGTTGTCTGTCGGTTCTGTAACAAAGAAAAACACAGCAAGGCTTTTTGAAGCGCTGAAAGCTTTGCTCCTTTAAAAGAAACATTCTGCTACATGATTTACAGATTGCGGGAAGGTTTTCTGGAAACTCCAGTGGGAATGTAAAGCACGTTCTGCTCCCCTCTCCGGGTCCCCACTCCAGCACGTTATTATGTAACCTCAATGTATATGCAACACTGAAGAGGCTCCACCTCTGGCACCACCACAGACTTAGCAAAAAAATTGTACAAACACTGACTCGAAGTGAATTGATCATTTTTTCCATCTGATGTACATTTTCTCTCCAGTTATCCTGGTTTTCCTGCCCCTCCCTAAACGGCCAAGCTGGTCTCAAAAGCTTAACAAAATCTGTGCTTCATTTAGGGCACAAAATGAGCAACATTCTTGCACAGCCACTTAGGAATTCAGCACCAGTGCACATGTCTGCAGTAACGCCTGCCCAACCTTTGTCACACATAACAGATCTACCCTTGACTCTGAGCCTTCTCGTATTATTGAGTCTACCCACCGATAATCTCAAAGCGAGAAAGGAATCGCTGGAAGAAGTTTTTGCAGGGGTCAGGCATGGCCACGGTGCCGAATTCTGACATCATGATGCGGTCCCTTTCACTGTTCTTCTTGTAGGCGTCGCTCTGCAGGAACCGGCTCATGTACGTCACCTGGCCTTTCTCGATCTTGAACTGGTGCAGCATCGCCATCCCATCGAACCAGTGGTTGTAGCTGGCCAGGAAATGCAGACGTTAAGGCTCCATCGCATGTGTTGGAAGCAGTTTTTTTAATTTGTGTCGTGCAGAATTGGATTCCAACTCACTGTGTGTTTCCAAACTCAAACTTCCCCGGGCCATTGCGGAGGAAGTTGCCATTAATCCAGGAAGGGATGGTTCCTTTTACTTCGGTGCTGACTGGCTCCGGGGTTTCTTCTACGGTGCGCACCAGAGGAGCGATGGTCTCCAGTCCCTTGAGTACCGTGGTGATGCATTCCTTGGCCTTGCCGTTGCCAACAGGCTCGGCCTCATCTGTAGGAAACACGAACAGAGACAAAATCATACCATTATTTTATTGTATTTTTTTACCCAATCAGAAAGACACTGGTGAGAGAGATGGCTGACTGGTTGAAACCAGTTCACTGTTTTTATGTATTTGGACGCTGAACCATAATAATACCTAGGAAAGCAAGTTCCACTTGTCTGGTGAGGCAAATTATCAGCCTATATTTACAATTCCCCTCCACAGTGCTGCTCAAATGCAACACTCACTACAGTATTTTGTGTTTATTTATAGGTATATAATATACAGTAAGCTACAGTAAAATGCTGTTGTAAATGAGTTCATCATATTTCAGTCCCTCCCCCACCCATCAGTGAGGCTTACATGGCTCGCTGCTGATGGCCCACATTAGCACACTGGCACTGGATGAAAACATTTGGCATGAAAATGTAATAAACCAATGGAGTACACATGAAATATAAGTAATACACTGTATATAATATACTGTTGTGTTGTTTAGCCTATGTGCAATGTTTGTCTGCTGAAGCCCTCTTCTTCCCCCTCAGTGACTCCAGTGTTAACAAAGACATGTGACTTAAATTATTGATAACAGTTGACTCCACTGTTTCCATCTGCTCCAGTCAGACAGATGTCCTTAAGAGTGTTCCTCATGCAGAGAAGTATTTTATTTCTGAAATATTCAGGTTGATCCACTAATAATAAGAACAGTAGGAAGCAGGGAATGCAAGCATACACATGCATACGTTATTCAGCCCTTACCCCAGGTAACTGGCCTATTTTTTTGTCAAGTGTTTGTGTTGGATGAACTGGTTCTGTTATTTTTGTTGGCTCACTCACTCGGATGTTTAATCTTTAACTGATATCTACGGTGAGGAAAACTTCAAACGACAGTGCAAATAGACTGGAAATGAACTTTTCAAGACATTCAAAGTTATCAGTGAATGTAGATTCATAGAAAAAAACACCCAAATTCTATAATAATATTAATTTAAAACACTGAAATTAGAGCAATTCTCTACATCTGACAGTAAAATACGTGTCTGGGTACATGGAGGGCTACTTTAATAAACCCCAAATAATGAAACAGATACTACTGCATGCACTGCCTTTCTTTTCAAAGATGAGCCGTGCCAATTCTCACCACAGTGCACTCTGAAAAAAGCCAATACAACCACTGGCTGCCAGTTATGGGTTGGGCTGAATATATGGATGTGGAGCAAGAATAACAGACAGGTATAAAAATTTATGTGCAAAACCTTGCTGCAGTAATTATTAATCACAGTCATCATGTATCTGCACGATTTTATTACCTCTGTGCCCAACTTTATTACCAGACCAGCTACTTTCACCAAAGTAGCTTTAAAGGACCAATTCAACTCATACAATACAGTTTTCCACTGAACTGCAGCTTCCACATTATAAAGAAAATGATATTAATGCAATACAATGACTTGATTTAATTGATGAGGGTTATATTTTTGAGTTTGCAGCCTAGAGGATAACTGCAAAAGAGATCAGTTCTTTATTTTTGTACGTACAATTCCTCTGTAAATCACTTTATTCATGGTCTAAACAGGGACATCTAAACCTCAAACATCCAGTCTAAACATTGTAAACAGTAGCACAGTGTTGCCTGTACTGATCCTAAATGTCACTGATTGTGCTTGAAGTTGCTTTTTTTTTTTCTTTTCTTTTTTTTTGGTTTAGTTATCCGGTTGCAAGAAAAGTTTCACCAAGACTGTATTCTGCTGTCACCACAGACATGAAAGTGTGTGTGTGTGTTTGCACGCTGTAACTGTGCGATGCGGATGAAAACAGCTGCATCCGTCTATAAACTGACTCGTGCAGTTTGCGGGACCAGAAGCTGAATGATTCTGACTATTTAAAGCGGCGATCGCAGCCTGTTTCCTCATCCACACGTTTAACCAACGACAAGGCACAAACTTGAGAGCAGCACAAGGTGACACACTTGCACAGTGTAAACCTGAAATCTGACCCGGTTTCAAAAAAGAACAATTTGTCCAGCCAGCAGAGACGCACCGCCGCGCTGTCAGCTGCGCTCAACCAACGACGGTGCCAAGTGTGCGCGCAGGTTGTTGTCACACACACGCTTGTTTTTACAGCGATGTAAACATGCAGAATAAAAAAAAAATTAAAAATTAATTTCCAAGCAGTCAAAGTAGCTGTAATGTGTATCTTCCTGCAGGACAATGACAGATCAGCAGCTGAATCCAGCACTGCTATCCAAAATAAGGAGACCTACCTGGACTGTCGAGCTTCACAGGAGGCATGGCAGCGGATGGATGCGGGTTGTGCTCGGCGGGTGTGTGCAGGATCCTAAAGCGCTCAGAGCTGCGCATGAAGCTGAGAGGAGCTGCGGGGAGGGACGCTGTTGTATAACGACGTGGTTTTTACGTAACGCACGCACTGAAAGGAGGAGTGACAGCGGTGCCCCTTGTTGTGTACATATTTACTCTTTCCCTCACTCACAGTCTGCAGGGTAAACATGAGCAACTGTCTGGTGGGACCCAAACAGCAGCTGGCGTTGTAGTTATTATGTTATAATCACTATGATAATAATACACAAGATTCATATTTTTAATGTATTTAATTTCAGTTATTCGCGTAACATGTGGGATAAAATGAAAAAAATGTGTTTTTGGCAACTCAGTATAGCCTAAAAAATATGAAAGTGTATAAGGAAATCATATAAAAGTGTAAAAAAATAAAAATGAAGAGTTCATTTGCAAAAACATAACTTAATTTTTGTAGATTTTCAGAATTTTGTTGTTGTTGTTTGCTTCAGATAATATCAATCAAACTGAAGTTGAGTGGATTTGATTCAGTAGAAATGACAAAACAAGAGATAACTTAAGTTTGGTTGATGTTGTCTCAGGTAGACGATGGAAAAGTGGGTTTTCTGGAGGTTTGTGAAGATGGAGTTATCTGTTTTTGCAAATGAGCTCTTCAAATACATCCTGCCTTCACTGAACTGAACTCCAGGAGGCATTTACTAAAATGACCTAATAATGTGTAAAAGCAAGACAACTAACCTTTTCAGGATATTTGTCATTCCAGATAACGCTCCTGTGTTGCTAAATGTGACCTAATATTTTAAATGGGACATTCAGAGGATCTTTCGAGGGTGTTGTCAGGTTAGTATGCATGAAAACACAAGAAGAATGTTGTCAGACCAACCTTCAAAATATGTTTTCCAGGTATTATCAGAGCCTCTAGGGACAGAATGTTTTTTTTTTGTTTGTTTTTTTTTAATGTTCCTACAATGTTACATATTGCCAGAGGTGGCACATTTTGCTTATAATGTTCTAAGGATGTTCTGGGGACGTTCTTGAAGGAATAAATTACACAACGTAGTTTCTTGAAACATTGTTACAGTGTTGCATGATAACAAAGGAAGGAGGCACACAATGCAACATTCTGCAGATGTTTTAAGACAAACATTGTTGGAATGTTACCTTTAAGAAAAGCCGGCTTCTAGGAACTTTAAAAAAAACAAAAACAAAAAAAACATTTCTAGAAATTTGCAGACCCTTCTCAGAATGTTTTAGCACAAGGCATTTCCAGCTGGGCTGATGTATATAATGTATGTGATATATGTTTGTCTTTGCAGCAGGATTGTATAACCGAGTTGTGACAGTCTGCAGCTGTGGTGACAGCTCAGACCTTGGCCTCATTTGTGGTTCATTTTGAAGAGCCATGTCTACAGAGTTACTGTCGTTAATGCTTGATGCTCCTGTTAACATCAGCAACAGAAATCTGTAATCAGTACAGCAGCATGTCAGCTCAGTGCACACATACAACAGCTGCATTTAGTCACTGTTTGACACTTTATAAGCGAATGTGTCACAACATGTGAATCGCAGCAGCCAGGTACTGTATCTGCACTTCAACTCAATTCACATTCTGAGAGCAGGACTTTAACCGGGAGCAGAAAGTTTAAATACGTGAGAAAATGATGTGAGTTCTTCCTCCACTGAGTTCAGACTGAAACACATGCTTTAACACTCACACTTCTCATTATCTCCAGTAGACATCTCAAGCAAACATCCGTAGACCTACACAGAAAGCAGAAATTTTTTTTTACTTCTCAGTATCACAGTAAACCACCGGTAGCTGTCATTGTACTCAGTGGTTCAAACCAACAAGGAGCTGCTCACAGCAAATTCGGCCAACTTCATCTCCAAACTGAACAAATACAAGCTGAAAAGACAGACCTGTAGCCTGCAGCCGAACTCTGTGAATCAAAGCTAAAATTAGACTTTGTTTCTTGGAAAAATGTCTGTGTGTTCACATCAGTGAAGTCTTTGAAGGTTTAATGTTTCAGTGTCCAGCAGATTGTGTGGAGGGAATGATTGAACTGTACACTGTAAAAAAAATAAATAAAAAAAAAATCTATAAAAAAAAAATGTAAACTAACATTAAGATACCATTAAATACAAAATACTACATTACTGTAGTAGATACACTGAATTACTCTAAATTAAGAAATGTTATATTTGTAATTTTCAGAAGATATAGAAAACATGCAGTGTTATTGTGAAATTTTAAAATCTTGGTAAAATGAATGGGAAATACCATAATGTGAGTAAAAGTAGTTTGAATTTACAATAACAAACCATCCAGCAAAAACCATACCTTCATTTCTACAGAAACAAGATGTTAAAAATATTCAATAAACATCTGTTTAACGTTGATAATGACCCCTGACCCATGACCCATATGTGTCTTGACAGGTTTGGTCAGAGGCAACATGCTGTTGCAGGAAAGCCTGAAGCAATTTATTCAAATTTGTCACAAATGTTTACTTGGGCTCAAAGGTGAACTGATTTGGTAGTCAAAGGTTCAGGGTTCACAATTACTTCACAACACACATTTTAAGCCACAGCAGAGGATTTTATACACTAATTGTGACACGCAAATGTCTGATGGGATAAAACAATGAAATGATGACTTTTTATGTCCAAAAGGTCAAAGGTCAGAGTCACTTAGCCTTCACAAAGCACCGTTTAGGCCGGAAATCGACTCATGAACTCAGGAACACCTTGAGAGAAAATCTTCAATTTTATGAATGCAATACTAAAGTTGGCAAGATGTTGTTGGGGTGTGGTGTCTGCTAAGGTGAAGGTGGTTGTTAGCAGGTTTAAGGTTTTAAACCATGTTGTAGCACGTTATTGGCTGCTGGTGTGTTTCTAGGTTGTTGCTAAGATGAGCTAGTTGGTTGGAAGGATGGTTTCTAGATTCAGTGATGTACTACATGGCTGATAGGATGTTATTAGGTGGTTAAGGTTACTTTGTCAGTGTATGTCAGTGTAGGTCTGTATGAAGGCTGTGCTGGTCCTGCTGGTGATTACTAGGTGTAGCATGGTGTTGCTATAGTACACTGGTAGGGTGTATCTTGTGGTTGATAAATCGTTTCTAGCTGACAGGGTGTCAGTAGGTATCGTTTCTCATGTTTCTAGGTAGTGTGCTGTTGCTAGGTGGTTGCTAGGGTGTTCTTAGTGGTTGCCCTGGTGATAACAGGTAGTTGCTGGCTTAGCAGGGTTCTCAGAGTGCGCAGTCCCACACCAAAGCCAATGCACGATATAGCAGTTTTAAAGAAAGTGATCCAGATCCACACAAAAATGCACTGAGTTCTTTCTTTGCCCAGGCTCTACCTCTATGTCTAGTTTTGTAGAATTCGGCTGCAAAGTTTTTTGCATAATTTACAGCCAAACAAATAGACCACAATGGACACAATCCCTCAGCAGAGGAGACAATCCCAGATCAGTGTTACTCCGGACACCATCCTGCCTCAGAGGGACGCTGATCCTGGACCAGCTACCTCTGTGATAATAATCATTATCAACAGACACACAAACACAAAATTCTGTAAAGACATAGAAATAGTAGAAATGCACAAATAAATAAATAAATAAACAAATAAATGTATATGTAAAAATATGTTCAAGCAATGTACTTTATGTTCTAGTGAATGACCAACCTAAATCTATCTATTTACAGTCTAGCCTATTTTTTTTTTTTATTTACGGTGTATTTTTCAGCATGTTTCTGTATTTAAAGGACTGCTGTATCTGTTTCTGTACGCTGGCAGGTCAAGCGGACACCTAACAGCTAGTTGTCCATATGGTCCGTGTCAGATAATCTTTGTTGGAGGATTAGCGGCGTCCCAGAGAAGGAGGACGCTCTATACGGCTTGTATTCGTGCTATGAGGCTCCTAGAACCTTCCAGGTATTGTTTACTTTACTCTCTACTACCTTACTTATTCCTAACAACCACAGACCAATACTAAACTACGGACTAGCTGTGTATGCTCGGAGTACATTAGCCTCCTCAGTGACCTCAGCTGCTGATGCTGCTGCTACTTTACATTTGTTAACAAGTGTTCAAGGCGAATGGGTTACCATGACAACAACTCCTCTACCGCCATGAATGGTGACGTGGGCTCTCTCACATGGTAATGTTCATTATCAGTACAGCAAGAAGAAGTAGTCAGACCTGGTACTTAAGTAACAGTATTATTATCATAGTATAGAAATACTCTGTTACATGTACAATCCATCTATTTAAATTGTGACTTAAGGGAAACTACCAATATTAGTCGAGAAAGACTCCAGTACAAGTACATTTCATGCATTTTAATTACTTAAGTACATACATTAATATCAGAGTGAAAAAAAATTAGTTAGAAGTAAAGTTCATCCATTTAAATGATGGCTTAAGTTAAAGTATTAATATCAGTGTAGAAATACACTGTTACAATGTGCATTCAAATTCAAAGTTGAATAAAAGTACTAATATCACAGTCTAGAAATACTCCACTACAAGTAAAATTCAAAATATTACTTCAATATTACTTCGGGGGTGGAAACGCGCTCTGGCTGAGACTTTCAGGCCAATTGGAGCACAGACACAGCACGTCTCGTATTTTGGTGTTTTATGACGTTGTGGCCAAATTCAGGGGGGCGCCATTTCCACGCCGTCACACTTGTGTGGACCGTTTTACTGATGTGTAATCACCACCTCCTGTAGTTTGTGCTGGCCAAATTTCAGGTGTGTACAACCTTCCCTGTAGGAGGAGATAGATTGTGAAAATGGTCAAAAATGGCCAAAAGTCAGGCAAATGCGCCAAAATTGTCACAGGGGTTTTTCTGCAGGACAGATTTTGAGTTTATCTTCAGGGAGAAGTAACTTTGAAATACTACGTCATAATTTATTTGTTGACTAGATTTTATATAAGTAACTGACAGTGACAACAGCAGCATTGCATGGGCATGTTGTTGTTGTTATTTTACAGTTTAGAAATTAAAGAAAGTAAGGACCTCAAAGCATGTTCTTACTGCTTCTTACAACATATTTATTTTTTTCAACAGGACATATTTCACCCATGGCGATAATGCCTTCCACTAAGAACTCTAATCAGTGGACCTTATCAGAGTTTCTTGGGCAGCGCCGGCTGTTGGGGCTCGGCGCTCTGCTGGCATGGCTCATCCTCTTCCATCTCCTGGTGAATGTTTGGCTCCTCTGTGTCTTCACCAGCCTCCTGGTGGTTCTCGGAGGTTGGCTTGGGTCCCGGGCCGTACTGGATGCCAACAGCCTTCTCCACCTGGAACACTTTTTACCTCTTGGCAAAGTGAACCCACCGCTGTCTTCACCTGAGCATGAGTGGAGGTTGAACCATGAGATCCACAGTGCTGTCCACAAAGCAGTACGTGACTTTGTGTCCTCGTGGTATCGGACTCTGCTGCCAGGGGTGGAGGGGGAGTTTGAACGTGCGGTGCGTAATTCAATGCTGGAGTCAGTGATGGAGCTGAAGGAGCGTGCACGGCACGTGGACAGAAAAGCGTTGGTTCAGCGGCTGCTGGAGCTGTACGGCTGTCACCTGCAGAGCTACATGACAGTGAGACAGATACAATCGACACAGAAGGAGAACTATAGCCTCTGGCAGCTCTACAGTGAAGTAGATGCTCCTCATCCAGCTGTGAGCAGTGCAGCCGCCGAGCTGAGCTACTCCAGAGCTCTAGTTAACCTCGTATTACATGTTCTGGTTCCGTACCCTCAGATGGAAACCAAGACTGGAGGTTACATGGTCACAGAGCTCATCACCTGCAACGTGCTGTTACCGCTAATAAGCAGGGTTTCTGATCCTGACTGGCTCAACCAGACCATTGTAGACATATTTACCAGGTCCAGGGAACCACAGGAACTCAGTGTAGAGGACCTCCCAGCAGAAGCCCTATACAAATGCCAGTTCCAGCAGGAGTCCTGGACAACCTGCAAGTCACTGTCTTCTTCTGCTCAAACCGGCCTCACCTGTAAAAGCTCCTCTGACACTGATCTGCAGAGTCTGGTAGACTCACAGAGCAGCATGCTTAGCCTGACATCTGCTGGGAAAGTACAAAGTTGCCATGCAGGTTTGCTCACACCGTACAAAGTGAACTGCTGCGCTCTCACGTCTGGACGCTACTCATCACAGTCCAAAATCATTTCTTCAGACTCGCTGATTCCGTCAGACTCAGAAGACGACCTGACAGGAGGCTTTTGTGACTGTGGTCCTCCAACCAACTTCTGCAACGTGCTCACTTTAAAGGATGACGAAGCCATTGGCTGCTTTGGTCCTCTGAGAAATCTTGGACCAAAGGTGGTGGTGCCCGAGGACTCCCAGTGGCCAGCAGGCATAGCCCAAGACAAATCCCCAACGTGTCCTCCAATAACACTTTGTCTAACCTCCTACAACTTCAATGCCCCCAACAACCCTGCTGCAATCATCCACAATGTGCAAGTTTCTGGAACTGTCACTGTAAAGGAGCCCCGTAGCACTGGCACTCATCCATATACGCTCTACACTGTGAAGGTAACACCACCACCTCCTACTTCCATTCTCATGTCACTGCTACTTGAATACTGATAATCACACATTGCTCACCTCTTGCTGTTTTACAGTTTGAGACAGTGAATGACACCGATAACGCCGACACACTGCAGCCTGCAGCCAGTCACTCTGTCAATCGCAGATACAGCGAGTTCCTCAACTTGCAGACACGTCTAGAGGAGAAGCCTGAAGTGAAGAAATTCATCAAAAGTGAGAAACAATTCTCTTTTTGAACAGATCATTAAGCTTTAACATGCTAAGACAGATCATTGTCTGTCAATGTTGTGCCTTTCAGATGTGAAAGGCCCAAAGAAGATGTTCCCTGACCTCCCGTTTGGCAGCCCAGACAATGATAAAGTTGAAGCACGTAAAGCCCAACTAGATGTCTTTCTTAAAGTATGTATCAGGATTATCATTTCAGTCTGCACAATCAAAACTTTTTGTGCGGTTGTGTCGTGAAATGATTCTCTTTTTCTAGCAATTAGGCAGCATTCCTGAGACAGCCAACAGTGAGGACATGCAGGAGTTTCTAGCTCTCAACTCAGATCCTTGCACATATTTTGGAAGAAAGCCTTTTGTCAAGTCAAGAATTGATAAGGTGAGAATGAATCTACATATCGTAGCTCTTGTGAAGACTGTGCAGTGAGATTGTAGTGGACATAGTTTTATGAGATCTCTAAGCATTGAGGTAAATAAATATGGACTTCTATTTTTGCTACAATTCTGAGTGTGCAATGAGACATTAGTACAGAAAGTTTTTGTAGAAAACAAATTGAGGTAAACTTTAATAAAATGGGGCACAAACTGTCTGAATGCCTGACTTTGGTTTTCTTCAAGGGGATTTTAATTCTCAATCTTGGTTGTCATTACAGATGATGGAAAATGCTTTAGACACCTTGAAGACAGCCTTCCCCTATCCTGAGCCCCTCAGTCCAGAAGACATAGAAGGAGATGCTGATGGAAGGACCATGGACAGCAGAAAGTACAGGTACGAGCTCTATCAGTTCAATGCTGTGGTTCTTAAGATTTCTTATCACAATTTGCCTTCTAGGTATGAGCTGTTCAGCCAAAGAGTAATTTTGCGCTTCTTTTAAAGTGGGTCAAAGAAAACGTTGATGAAATTAAATCAAATTTTAAATGCAGGTTTTTGAGGTGCTTTCTGAGTGTTTTGTTTTTTGACTAATGGAGGATTTTCTGTTTTATGCTTTAGGAGGCTTATGTTCGGCAGCAAAGTTTCACCATCTCTCAATATTCCTGACCTACATCCTAAAGTGACATACTGCTTTAGTGAAGGCAGCCCTGTAAGTTACTAAAGTACATTCACCATCTTGATCAATGAGTGTTTGAAGAGGACATAACACAGAGTTAATATTTTCTTTAACAAAAAATGTACCTGTTATGACTGTTTAGATCCTCAATGGCATGTCACTATCCAGCCTGGAGAGCTTTGTCATACAGCGGGAAAAGCTTCTGTGTGAGCTTAATGGGAAAGACACAGCCAAGCAGGGCTGCGATCAGCAAGGCAAAGACAAGAAGAGTTCAGGGAAAACTCACGGAACAGGTTGAGACTACCTTACTTAAGTTGCATAACATCAGGAGAGAATACACTGTGGACTGTACATAAAAGATGGACGTATAGGCCGCGATGTCACCCACTGGTTTGTGAACTACCATTTTGAAGTTTGGAATTTGTTCATTGCTATCTCGCTGATGTGACCAGCAAGGGATGGATCTGACTAAGAACTCGAGGACACTATGCAGAGCAACAACCTGTCAATCACAAAGAAACCTTTTCCTAACATATACCCTGCTTTGTTGTCTATTTTTCTCTAGATTGACTAAATTAACAGTGTGCTGTATTCAAAAATAATTAAAACTAGTGATTGAGAGCATGAACTGATTAGGAAATGGTTTACTGAGGTAACAAATCAATTGAGAAGTAGGATCATTTTCTTATATAGTTCTATACAATCAGAATTTTTTTGCAACCAGAGCAGTTGCCCCCTGCTGGCTGTTAGAAAGAATGACAGTAATTCCTTGTTGGCTTCACCTTTCAGACCTCTGGGTTACGTCCATCTTTCACCTACTGTCTAGCATACAGACGTATGCACCTTGTAGCAGTAGAGAAGCAACATGTAGTGGCACAACATCACCACTTGGCGGCAGCAAAACTCCACTGCTTGTCTAAGCCCCAGCTGAGTAGTCCCAGTAATCCTCTTCTGCTACTCTTCTACATTGTTGCATTTGTTGTTATTAACATTCAGTCAAATGTGTTTTAATGCTTCTCTGAACCTTGTTTTCTTGAAAATAAGTTTTAATTTGTGTGGTTTACGTCTGTGTGTACTTCAGACACGGCTGTGGCAGATGTTGCTTTGAACATCTTGTGTCTGCTGATGAAGGACCAGTGGAGTTGGCTGTGCACTGAGAACATACAGAAAACCATCAGACTGCTCTTTGGCACTTTCATTGAAAGGTAGAGAGTTCTGTACCTTCTGTATATGTCTTGGGTTTATGGTGTATGAAGACAAAGGCAAAGACAGTGCAGTGCCACAACAGTTAATTGTACTGCTCAGGTGTGGAAGAGGTATTCAGATCCTTTACTTTAGTAAAAGTAGTAAGTGCCTTAATGAAATGAAAAATACTTTATTTATCCCACAAGGGAAATTCAATTAATATTTAACAATGTGTGATATTTATCACAGAAGTGTAGTGAAGTGTAAGTAAACATTTGCAATGAAAGCAAATGCTCAAGTAAAGTACCTCAAAATTGTGCTTAAGTGCCGTACATGAGTAAATGTATTTAGTTACTGGTGCTGTTGCTAGTACCACTATCGATTTTGCTAATATGTGACACTGTTGCATGCAATCTTTGTCCTTCATTTAGCCGGACAACCAGGCACCAGATCCTTTTCTAGTACGAGGGACAGCTTTATGAGGTAGTAAGTGGTTAGTTGCATGTGAATGTTGCATGACATTCTCTCACATTGCCTTTCAAAATATAATTTGTTTCTTGAAATGCAATGTTTCGGCCTTAGTGGGTAGAAAGAATTAAACAAAACTTCTCCTGACTTAACACTGGACTCGCTTTACGACATGATCTGTGGGAAATGGGCTTTTCTTGTCTCTCCTGTTCTGCTTTCATTGGCTGATTACACCGGCCTTAAGTTTTGGACTTAATTTTTTTCTCCTGGGACTTCATTAAGGGCTTATGGTTCATTTAGTGTATCAGTAAACAATGTTCAGTCCCTGCAATTGCTTATTTGATTTTCTTACCCCTGTGTGCATGTTTTTATTCTGTCCTAGTCAAATGAAGCATGTGTATGCATTTATTTTGCTTGTGTGTAATCTTCACTGGCTGATAACTTGTAGATAAAAGAAGTACTGATGCACAGACGAACACTGTTGCACTTAACTACTCATTTCTGTGTCAGATGGTTGGACGTAGGGGTGGCTCACCTTACTAGTGCCCCCTGCTGGGTGATTTACCTCCAAGTGCTGCAGGAGGCTGTGTGGCCAGGCGGCACGCTGCCTACCCAGCCACGACCAGAGCGAAACGCCGCAGAAAGAGAGGAAACGAAGGAGCAGTGCTTGGACTGTCTCATGCAGCTGTTACCAGGTGTGCAGCAGCTGTTCGATTCAGATTATAGCTGTCAGGTGCTGTTCTGAGATGCACAGCTTTCTGAAGGTGTTTCTTGTGCCTGAACAGAACTCATCACTGACATGCTGGGCAGCGAGAAGTACAGACTGAGCTTGGAGACCATGCTGGAGTCGTTACAGGACCATCAGATAAACAAGTGAGTCAGCAACCAAACGTGTCTGACTCTGCTGTTTTATGAGGAGCTCAGAAACTAGCAGTAGTAGTCTCACTAAACAATCCCATGCCAGCGTTTCAGACAGATCTGAACACTGCATTTCTGCTATCAGCCATGTAAGAACCTGCGTTAACGTTGATGTCAGTCTCTGGACGTCTTAACCCTGTTGTGTGATGATCTGCAGACATCTGCTCTACTGCATCTGTGACCTGCTGCTGGAGTTTCTGATCCCTGAGTCGTGTGATGAGGCCTTCCAGAAGTCTCTCCTGCAGAGCTTGGCTAAAGACACAGGGAGGGACAGTCCTCACATGTGATCTACAGATGATGTACTTACAGATGGATGCACAATGTGCAGTATATGTGACATGTTCTCACTGAAGTCATGTCACGAAATAGCAGCAGTCATTGTCTTCGGTCAGCAGGAAAAAGGGACTTCACCAGCTTCATGTTTTGATAATAAACTCCTCATCCTGTGACTTGCTGTTGCACAAACATGGGGAAGCTGTGAAACGTGATTGTGCATCAGAAGGAAACAACTGTGGAGTCAGATTGATTCAAAGTACATGTACAATTGTATTAATAAACGGGTTCTTTTTTAGCTACAGGCAAAACAGACATGTTCTCTGTAACCAGTGCATGTTCATTGTTACTCTGAATGCATTTATTCATTGGTTCAGGTTTGGTGTGCACATGGTTTCCACAGAGGCGGCTAAGATTACAGCTGACATCAGTTTATTATGTTCCATCTGAAATATTACATTTTTAACAAACATATTTTTAAATCATCAGCTAATGTATCACCTTTATTTGATGCAAGGGCTTTAAAATACATCCTAAATTGTATATATTTTGTCCTACGATGTAGTTGGTGCCTTCAGCTGAGAACTGTGGCATCCATCAGTGAAAACAACTCTGTGGAGGAGCTTCAGGTTCTTATATTTAGTTCTTGTCAGTTGAGATGCTCAGATGAAAGTAGGGCGGAACATCAGATTGGTGGACTGATTCAAAGACTGATTTACTGAAGCAATAAATGCCTTTAGTCTACGAGCGTTGTGTGGGAATCCCCCTTCCTTAGACAGACTTTAAGATTTTATATTTGTCTCCTCCCTCACGGTCAAAGCTGTCATAAAGTTGTGTTGTGTTAGTGGATGTGTTTTATCTGTATTTACTCCTCCATGTCCATGGAATTATGAATATTTTCCATTTGGTGCAGCTTTTATAAGCAGCTGTTGTGGACATACACTCTCACTGATGATGACTAACGCATGAAACTGAACTCAACCATCCGTATCGCTGCTCCCAGAGCGCTGACTGTTCATGTTTGATCTGAAGAATCTGGGATTGCTTTCACCCAACCATCTGTTTGAACCTTGTGGGGTCCTTAAGCTACTAAACTATTTTAGACCTTAATTTTAAGAGCACTCTATGTGTGAAATAAATGTGATATTTGACAGGAGCACTTTCGGTGATTTACCTAAGACTGCAGACAGATATTTTATTAATAAAAGCACATGCAGACAGTACGCTATATCTTCCCACGAGCTTTTGATCCTGACAGCATTTAGAAAATAACCATTGCTTTACAGCCAGTATCTTTGATGAGACCAAGGTTAACAATTTACCGCATGACTTATGAAACCACATTCAACAGATGCTTTTAAAGTTAACTCAAGTGTTGTTAAGAAAAACGAAGAGCAAAATCACCAACATTGTCTTTCACATGTCAGCTTAACTCCATTTCAAGTGAGAAACATCCCGCATATGAAGTGTCATTCTTTTTCTTGTGACGCCTTTGAGTTGAATATTTTACATGAATACAATTGAAATTATGTCCTATTGTTGATGAACTTGTAGATGTGATCAGCACTGCAACTCTTTCTGTCAGTATGAGAGATGTGTAGAAAGACCGTCTTGTTCATCTTTTGCCCTGTTTGTTGCCCAGATGTCCTGTTCGACTGACCAGAGGGGAGAAAACACTGGAGACGTGAAGCAAAACATTCCCTAAGACTGGTATTTAACTTTCAATTGGATTAAATTAGGACTAAATGTTAACTAGACTGAAATGTGCCAACTACTGCTCTGATCTGTCTCAGTAGAGGTTAACTTTGTGAGGAAACGTTACTCTTTCTCTTTGCTTGTCCACCTACAGACAAAAACTTCTATTTACAGATGCTGTTTATGTGAACCACTTAGAGAAAATATTCCCATCTCCCAACATATGCTGTAGGACGATGGATGCTTCCATCAATATCAGTAAGTTATTCCAAAGAAGCTCTCAAAGAGCTGAAATAATAAGAATCAGTTCAAAGCACAACAGTTTATTATCTGTTTTTACGTTGTTTTTTTTCCAGTTTATTGTTTTTCCAGTTGTGTTCTGGCAGTAGGATTCAACAAGTAAGTGCCTTGTGACAGAAATACATAAAACATACAATAAAATGCAATCTGTGTACAATTTAGTGCAGGAATCCTGACATAAATACTGTCTTTGTGTAGCTGTAAGATGACATTGCGTGTGAAAGGTGTATATGAGATGGGCACAATAACAGAAGAAACCGAACAACAACCCGTCCTCATCATTTTCCTGACACACATGTTCACATTTACACATTTCTGTCAGATGTCAGGCTGTAAATCCGTTCCCTTTGTTTCCACTTGATCGTCACATGGAGGATTTTAGAAACTTGATGTTAGGAACAAAGCGCATCTCACTTCCTTTCTCATGAGATCATGGGCTGATACTGGCCCACTCCCACCTCCTGTCTCGTGCTTTGGGACATCACTGGCAACCAGAGGAGACAAAACGCTCAAGCTGCGTTGATGGTGGCCCCATACGTCTCAAAGTCAGAGCAGCTGTATTCTTTTTTTTTTTTTTTTTTAGCAGAAATCACTCAGAGCAACAAACATCTGTGAAATTTCACAACTCAGATACATCATCAGCTAATAAAGGGCATGTGACTCATTTAAACTGAATTTACAAATGTTTTATCAATATTTTAAATAGTGTTAGGCAATGATGTGATGCAGTAACGATAGTAGTTTCCCAGCAAGATGAGTAAAGATTCAACCTCCACAGGTCACAGAGGAATGATTACACAACCAAAACTGGATTTTTAATATTGGACAGCAGGGTGAGAGCGACGAAGTGCCCATTCCCCAACAATGACGCCACCTGACTCTGGAGATCGCTTTTCGTCTGGCGCCACCATGAGGTTGACATTCTTGGTTCTGACTGCAACTGTTGTAGTTGTACATGGTGTATATCAGTGAACCAAGTATTATTGCTGCCAACTTTCCCAACACAACGCTTCTATGTGACTAACTCTTTGACTGGGTTGAACTCTTTGGTAGGTATTGAATTAAAGCAGATCTTGATAAAGAAATCAAAAAGAAAAGGAAAATATAGATGTCTGACATAAACACGTGATTGCTTTTTGTACCACTTTTCCTAAATTTATTGAAGGACTATGAGTTGGAAAACCGTGAGTCCTATTGGTCCAGTCACAGGAAGAAGAAAATCACCAAAAACATCAGCCTCTTAGGGTGAACACTAAAGGTTATGTGGTTGGTGGAATATTGGAAGAGAGAAAAAACATGGACAATTTTTAAGCAAATGTGCACCATCATGTAACTGGTTTGTATTATTCTATCAAAGCAGGGTGAAGACTACATGTTCATATCAATGAGCCTGCAGAATTTCAGGACTCTAGCTGCATTAATTCTTAAGTTTGGGCACTTCAAGCATTGTTACACAGATTGGCGTGAAGAAAACCATGCAAAAATCGGCATGACCCCACTGATCTTTAAGAATTGTTAACTCAAACACTAATGTTACCTCTGACCCCAGATTTTACACTTGGTCAAATCAATCAATTCACCCCCTAATGCTGCCAAAAGATCTGTTAGATTGAAAAGGGTCATTTGGGGTATTCTGTGAATTGAGGTTGAATGACTCATCAACATATTCACCAAGAACTAACATAAAATACCCTGACTGTAACCAGGGCCGTGTTGCTGTTGTTATTTGCTTCATACAATATGAAATCACATTGTTTTGCAGATGTTTGTTAATGAGTCACTCGTCTGAAGTGTTACAAGATGTGTACTTGACCTCTGATCCAGATACATGTCAGCATGATCTATTTACTGTGTGTTTTCAGGCCACACAAAATATTGTTTGTTGCTACTGATTCAGGAGATTTGGTGTATTGATTAGCGAAAGCCTCTGGAGCAGATGTGCTGCCTGTTGGGACTGTTTAAACTGACTGTCCTCTGGACGAGGCTCACAGTTTCCCACATCACTGCTCTGGAGATGAAACAAGGTGCTGCCCTTGATGGTGTTGACAGAGACATGTGTCATCAATGTGATGAAGATTTTTAACCAGTCTCTTCATAATGCCTCCTGCTGCCAAACCACAGATGCCGTATATGTGCGCAATAGGTGACAGTTTGTTCACCGACCCCTGTGAGCCCCACCGCAGCCCAGCACAGACAGTCCAAGAAAAACAAATCAACAGCTGAAGTATCATGAAATGAGTAAGTTTTATGGCAGAATTCCATCTAGAAAAGATGAATGTACACACTCACGCACATTTGCGCAAACCCACCAGATGTAGTGATTACTCAGAGCAGGGGAGTATCACCAGTTGAGGTTAACAAGCATGCACTGCATCTCAATTTTGAGGTAAACCTCCATTTTTCCATCTTGCAGTTATCACAGAGCGTAATTACAAATAGGATTATAGTCAGATCTTAGCGGATCATTAGAGCCGTCCTTTACAACACAATCCAAAAACAATGTTGCAGTATGAGTGAGTTTGACAACGAATGGCACCAACATCTCCTGGCGTAAGCGTGCCTAACCACTGATTCTGGCATCTGACCTTTCGATGAGGCGGATCTGGTTCCTGTTAGCGGTGTGTCCTCTGCTGCACGGTGCAGATGTGCAGTGAGGCCTTTAAGGAACCCTGACACCCCGCCTCAGTGCCCTACTTCCATCTCCTTATCCTGGAAAAAAACTTCTGTTTTCTGGAAAACAACAACTAATTTTAATTGCAATATGACTTTATCCCATTCCAGCCCTCCCTCCTGCGCTCCACCTCTGTCCTATTTCGTTTGAGTGTTTTGCCCCAAAGTTAAGGTCAAAGACAGCTGGTGTCAGACCATCAGTCACTCTCAGTTCTGGTAACTGTCTGCCTCCGATGACTCTTGACCTGCTTCAAGGTTCATGGAGAAGTTTATCAGGAGCTTCTTCTGGGTCAACGTAGAGTTTTAAAGCCTGTTTAACTGATGGAAAATTCCACTGGTTCACTGCGTTTTTTGGAATAATCTTTATATAACACAAGGTTATGTTTACATGTGAGAGCAACCAAACACAATGCTTTAGTTTCCTATTTTTCATGTACTAATACAGAACACAACTGAAAGGACGAAACTCTACCAACCCTTCTATACAAAGGCTGAATGTACAATTACTGGACCACATAAATTAATGATATATTGAGATGATTGAAATATTATAGTTTGTGTTTTTGAAACAATTATCAGCATCAAAATAAGTATGTTTTTGTCACCTATTTCAGGGTTTTCCCTCGTTCACAGTGAACCTTTTGGAGGTAAAAACAAACTACAGTTAGATCAGTGTGTGGATTCTGAAGTCTGTGTTACACTGTTTGACTGAAGTTTTTGCATTTTCTTGTAATTTCTGACCATTTGATAGACACAAATGTCGATTACAAGCAAGTACATAAAACCCCAATTAACAAAACTGGTTAGAAAAATTTATATATCTACTCTTTTTTAAAATGTATTTTCAATCCTTCCATTTTGATGCTACTGGTTTCCATTTGAAGGGAAGAAAGGTAGGAAGTCCTGTATGTGTTAATGACATTTCCATTTCAAGTCTTTATTTTGTTTATTAACATTCAAATTATACAGCAAGATCATAAAATATAATGCAGCATTGTGTTTAAACTAACCAACAACATATGAAGCAGTTACAAACCAGCTTCAACATTAATATGCTGCTTTTAAGTGAGTGTTTTCTTGCATTCTTGCAATATGTGAGCTACTAACAACTGTCAGAGGAGACATTCTTGACTGTGAGCGCACAACTGTACTTTCCACGTCTGTCATGTGCCGTTTTGTTGCCCCTGTTTGCTCAGAGAGACTTTTGCCTCCAAGATGCTAACATCATGCTGACTGTCATGAGGTGACATGACTTAGCTTTACAACCGAGATATTTTGACAGACGTGTCTTGCCGAGGTCAAGGTGCTCTGTTCGGTATGTGTTTCAAAGGTGCGATGTATTTGAAAGCCTGTCTCTGCCACAAATGACCATGTCAGTGATTTCAAAATAAAATGCAAGTTACTGCAAGTTTGGTAAAAATATTTAGAGATCATACACACTCGCACGGTCCAACAACTGCTACTTCTTTATGAGAGACTTGTGCCA